TCGCAGGCAGCAGAGGTGAACAAGGTGTCACGATCCCTTTTTCGGGACAAAAAGAAATAAACCGTTTAATACCGGCTGCGTATGTTTGTTTTGTTGAGGTCGCCCAAGAATGTTGAATTAGTTCATACACACGGTCTCTTAGGTTTGAATCATTGATGACAGGATGACGCAAGGCAGAGGAGAGGCCAACGGCGCTAATTGCTTGAAGCGGTCCATCTGAAAACGAGAGAGCGAGTCAGCAATGCCATTGTCGATTCCGCGCACATGTTTAGCGGTAAACTTAAATTATTTGTTAGCGTACAAAGGACAATTGGTCGCAGTAAATCCATTATCTTCTGACTTTTAGAGGTTTTTTGATTAAGAACTTGAACGATGGACTCGTTGTCACAGAAAAACACAATGCGTTTAGATGTCCACTGGGATCCCCAGAGACAGCAGGCAAGATAAATTGGATAAAGTTCTTGCCATGCGATCGAAATCCCGGTTTTTTGGTTGATATTTTGTTCTGGCAGCCAAAGGCCTTGGTACCATTGCCCTGCTAAATAACCACCGAAACCTATGGAACCAGCTGCGTCGGTATACAGTTGAACTGTTGGCGATGGCGTCTGTTCGGACTCAAGAAAAAGACCAATACCGTTCCAATGTTTTAGAAAAAGTTCTTTATAAAACCGTGAGTTTAATCGAACAAAATGGTAAGGCTGTTTTACCCCACACGTTAAAGCGATCATGTGACGAAGAAACGTACGTCCCGGGGCAATCACACGACATGCAAACTGGAGAACGCCAATTAGAGATTGAAGTTCCTTTAACTTACAAGATGAACGTTTTTGCCAATTCTCAAGCAAAGACCTAGCTTGACCAAGTTTATCAGGGGGAAGGTAAGCTATCATGCGGACAGAGTCTAAAGAAATCCCGAGAAACTCCAATACTTGATTAGGGGCATACGTTTTTCCAGGGGCAATTGGAACATCTAACTCGGTAAACAGGCACAACAATTTACATAAGGAAGTTAAACATGCCGGACGTGGTGCCGGTTCGGCTATAAAGAAATCGTCCAAAATATGGAGAACATTTGAAACTCCTAGTTTGTGTATAAGAATCCATTCTAGGGCATCAGAAAGCATGTTGAAAATGAAAGGGGCACTTCGAAGACCAAAAGGTAGCACACGATCTAAAAAATACAAATCACACCATTTCATGCCGAGGAGTTCCCAGTCGTCAGGATGTACTGGTATGTTACGAAAGGCGGATTTAACATCGGTTTTGGCCATGAAACATTTTGGACCGAGCTTTAGAAGGATTCTTATAGCATCATCAAGGCGTACATATTGTAGCGAATATTCCTCGGGCAAAATGTTCGCATTGATGCTGGCGTTGGAAGTTTTTGGATGCGACAAGTGGAAAATTGTTCTCTATTTGGACGAATTCTTTTTAGGAACGAGACCCAAAGGGTAAATTTGAAAATTTTGAAATGGGGGTGAAGTGAAAGGCTCAATAGTGTGACCTTGTTTGACTTCGTCGAGTAAATTACTATCAACGGTTTCCGGCAAGAGGTAAGCGGTTTTTAGATTTTTTGAAAAATAAGGCTGACGGGGCCTGTGATAACCAATTTTAAACCCGTCCCTCAAGCCCGAACAGAGGCCGATGACAAATTCATGATCTGGGTGGTCAGTTAACAGAGATTCAAGTAAAATTAACATTAATTGGTGTAACTGGTTTTAATTTGTCAACAAAAGCTTTACTTGTGTTTTCTGCGACGCGAAGTGTCATCAACTCTTTTAGCGCTGGTGTCATCGTGAGTGTAGGCGCCATGCTGTTCACCCCAGTCTGGTCGATTGCAGCAGTGTTCGAACAGACACAGAGAGGTAATACATGGGACACCTCCGTTGAAATTCCGGCAAAACCTTCTTTGGTTGGAAAACCTGCTTGGCCGGCTACCTTCAAACCTTGAGGAAAGAGGGTAGATATCAGACAGGTGATCAGCGCCGCCGCAGACAAAACAAATTTGACGCGCGAGACCTTTGAACTTATCTAGCCAAAGCTGGAGATGGCGTTCACCCCAATTAAGCGCTGGATTTTTGGCAGCAAGCTTTTGAAAATCAATATCGTAAGAGTACCATGCGAGGCCTTTAAACTTTTGCGAAGCTTCGCGGATTATGCGCTGGTAGGCAAACAGCTGCGCGGCCTTATGTGGAAATCTAGCGACAACCACGGACGCGTAAATACCAAAAGCGGTAAGCCACTTATCTATGTTGTCGACTTTAGTGTGCTTTCCGAAATTTGAGAAGGGAATTGGGATCGTGAAACCTTGGTCGCCCTCTACAGAAAGGCAAATTGGGACAAAACTAGGACGGTCTGAATTACCCGGGAGAAGCAAAGAAAAATCGACAAACTCACCCTTTAGAATTTGTTCTTCAAGCCTTTTTGGTAAACTCGGGCTGATGTCCAATGGCGAAGAGGATGTCGACGGCTGCGATGAAAGGAGGCTGGCAACTTGTGATGGATTACCAAGGTCCAGAGGCGGCGTTGGAGCATTTTGCACGGGAAAACTTGGCAGCGGCGGTGGTTGAGGTGGCATAGTTGGCGGCGACCCGTTTTGTTGGGCCAAAACGTCGCGGAGAAGAGGAACAAGGTTCGACGCAAGCGAGCGGAGAGATTCGGATGAGTAGTCCGGTGTGGAGCTGGGTCTCGAATCGGCACTCGATGCAGCTGGGACTTCTGCTCCATCGTGATCGGCGAGGCGACGAAGAAGAGTATCACACGAACCAGAAAGGGCGAGATTTCGTTGCGCCAGGAGGAGATGAAGAACCTCCGTTGATAAATCGGCGTAGTTGACCCCAGCAATATCTGCAGCCTGCGTTTGCACGATTCCACGCTGCGGACGGCCACGAGTTGAACCTCGAGTTGGTTCTGAACGATGCTTGCCTTTTTCTTTAGGCATTGTAAGTCACAATATATATATTTTTTTTTCAAATTTTCAGTTCTTTGCGAAGGTTTCAGTTTATCCCTTGAATTATAAGCTAAAATTTTTTCCAGAGCTGTGAACGCACTGGCTAAAGTCTTGCAAATGAACAATGCACGTCGAAACTGCGATCAAAAGTCCTTGTGCAAAAAGGGGGGCATTGTATGTATGCACGTGAAGGAAAACCTTCAGGATAATTTCTGATTGGTTAATCTCAAGTTTGCATCAGTTGTTCACATGCTTAGTAGCCAAAGTTCGATTTTTATCTGATATTTTGTAATATTAACAGGACTAGAAAATGGTTCCCTTGTTCTGCCAAGGTACTTGGACCTTGTACGTACCTTGTATGGATTGGTTTTTGTGATGCAGATGTGTTGGCAGACTGAAAACACCCTCGGGCAAATGGAGTCTTCTAGAACATATTACTCCATTAACCGCAATTTATAGCTTTGCTTAAATTGATTATATTTAAAAGTATATTGTCGACATTTGACTAGAACTATCGTAAGGAATTAGGAGAGTTTGCCCTTGTTTATATTCCAACATATTGTATAAATTCGCTGGGTACAAATTTATGAAATTTTGGGGTTTTCGAGTCGTTTAATTTCATAAAAATTAACACAAGTACACAATGGATGTTGTGAGTCCACGACGTATATTTATAGTTGTTTATTATTAAAAAGTCAAACTTTCAAACCTTTAACTTGTCCTTGTTTAAATATCCTTCTATATATTGTATAAATTTGCTGGGTCCAAATTTTGTGGTTTTCGAGTCGTTACACAATAGGAAACCGGCACAATTTTTCGAAAATTCAACGAAACTGTGTAAAATATAGTTTGATCACTCTGTGAAAAGCCGCCATTGGAGTCCGGAATTTTGCGCGTGTGTACAAGTGTATGAGCTAATAAACTAAAAATGTACCACAAGCATGGCATGAGTCGACTATTACGTACATAAATGCAAGCTTATTACTATACTGTCGAAATTATGGAACCGAGGGAATCGATGGCATTTTGGCTTCATCGTTGCACCCTGAGCCTGTGATGAGCTAACACAAACTCGATTTCTCGAATACGAAAAGAAACGAAAAAAGAGGGATTTAAGACACTTGGCCTACAGGCCAGTGTAATAAACATGTTCATAGACATAAAGTTACGACATGGGAGTATGCAACCTTAAATTAATTGCTTTGTTTGGCAACTTATTCGCAAATAATTGTAATAGTGCCAAGATTTCAGAACGTTTTAGTTTTAGTAAATTTAAGCCAATTGTCAGGATGCATGCATACACTCACCAAATCACCAATATATGAAATTTAGCAAGGAAATTTAGCCACTAAACAACATATTCACCTAATAAAATCATAACTATCTGACCCTGGTTGAATATATCAAACCGTGGTTGATTTAGTTCCTTCATCAGATCAGAAGAAATCCAAAAATATTATATGTGAAAATACTTTAAAATTACTCTAAAACTGACAGAATATCTGACATTTAGCAAACAGATTTGACTTTATTTGGGATATTTTGACATGAGTTGGGGACGTTTTGACCTGGGGACGTTTTGACTGGAAAGCTTTTCTTTCATCATTTTGGTTGCATTATATAATTACATCCCTCTGATCATAAACAAGAAAACTGTTAAGACTAAAAACAAACGTTTTGCAGATTTGTTTAAGTATCATATAGTTTTGTTTTTTGCAAAACTATGGCACGCCAAGTGTAGCAATATTCAGTAAACTAATATTTTGTTTAATTCAACAAAAATTCAATGTTCAACGACAACAATTCAACATAATTATTCAACTAAGTCATTCAACATTCAACTAAGTCATTCAACGTTCAACTAAGTCATTCAACATTCAACTAAGTCATTCAACATTCAACTAAGTCATTCAACTAATTCATTCAACAACTCATATGCAAGCTTACACAAAGTAATGGCAAAGACTGACGCACACAATGTCATACATGATTACACGAAGTACTTCCATACTTCCCGTGAAAGTTGACAACCTCACGGTTAGTTGCAATCATGGATGATAAGTCAAATCTTCAACAACTTTCTAAATGCCTAAATGATGCTAGTAATTTAATTAATACTATGTTGGACACTGATACTCAGCGGCACCAGCCTGGGATCGCACCTGCACAACCGGTTCCACAAGCAGAAAGACCTAGAGAAGCTGCCGTAAATGTGCCATCTGTGAGAGCGACCATCAACTCAGCAGTAGATCGTGCTCGATTAATGATCGGACAATCATCCTCAAGGGGTTTGTGCTCGTGGTTAAATAGAAGAGAACGGCTTAGAGTGACGAGTTCTAAACCGTCCACCAGTACGACGAAAAAGCCTCGTCTGGAAAAGAAAGTTTTTGAGTTCGTTTTGCTTAGCAAAGTATGCTATTTGCTTTTCGGAAAGTATGGTTGCTATACATGGGTTTATTGAAATACCAACGACAGCAAGTGAAGTGGACATATGAACGGAACTTGGTAAAGCTATTCAACTTAAATTTCCAATGGTATCTAAAAATAACTTCGAATTTGTGAGGGCCAATCGACGGAGAATTACGAAGCCAGTAAGCTGTAATGAATACAATTACAACCAGGTCAAGTTACTTGCTGGCCAAGGGTGCATCTACTTAAAGATGAAAAATGGTTTGGAGTGTTTGTTTGTCGAAGACGCACCTGGAGATGGTGCATTTGATTTTGAGAAGAAAGGTAGTATGCAAAGATTTTTTAAACGACTTATTGCATTTTTGGACAGGTCAGTGGGGGCATCTACAAAGGGCCATTTCATTTAATCCCCCCCCCCCTTTATATTGACAATTTTTTCTGAATGAAGGGTTAAGCCTGTCGGCATCCTTTGATCTCTGTGATTTTTCTTAGAGGTGTGGATATTAAATGGGATGGCCCAAATGCTACACTAAATGAGATGACTAATAGTTGTTGGTGATACAAAGTTTGGTGTAGTGTCTTAAATGTAATAGTAAGTATGGGGGTCTGGTGGTTTTCTTGCCCAGAGAGAGTTAAGCAATTTGTTGTAAATACCTTACGTGTAGTCTAAAGCAGAACCAGCAATTATTGCAAGGACATTGCTATCAGACTAAGAAAGGATATCTGTGAGAACTGTTATGTTTTTCATTTTGTTATGTGTTATATTAGTGCAGCGGAAAAGTAAAAAATCATGCACTTTGTGAAGAAAGCACCCAATTCACAGGAAGTGTAGACTTTAACATTATAATGAATCTTAGATATGGATTCTCTTACTAAACCCTATTACTGTTTAAAAATGTGAAATTGCAGGTTGACATATAGCAAAAATGACTTGCATGATTAGAAAGCTTACAAAAAACTACATATAAGACTTTTAAACGGCTGATTGATTTTCCAAATGGTTTTCCAGTTATTGCTATTTAAAAACGTGATAAATAGGCAAAAATCCCGCCAAAGTCCTGGACACTAGCCCTAAAACATATTTTCAACCGCTCATAACTCCAGAGGAGTTGGAAAATCAAAATAACTGCTTAAATGTCTTATAGTCAGGCATATTGTCAAACTAGTTAATACTTCCAGTGAACTCGTGCAGTTCACTGGTTCCTTCAAAACCTAAAATCTTTTTGGCATTCCTCTCAAAATTACTTTAGTTTACACAGTTAGCAACCTTTTTAAATGTATCTGGTGGTTGAGAAACACAAAATAATATTTAAACATTGTCAATTTAACTACAATTATCATTGATGCTGTAAAATTGACGCTATATTTATACAGCAATATATTAATACTGAACTTCAGACATTGTTTTCTCTTTGGAGTACCATCTAAAATGTCTTTATTTTAGAACTATTTTACCGATAAAGCACTAGACATACTTTTTAAGTGGTGCTGGGGAGGTTTTGGCCTCAGAGCTGTGCCAACTGGGGGGGGGAGCAAAATTTTTATGCCGAAAAAATTTTAAGAGTGTAAAATATGTAGAAAGTTGTATATGCGTGATATCAAGAAATTTTTTTAAGGATCTTGTGTCGGTTAAGCATTGTGTGGAATAATCTTTAAGCTTTGCTTACATTAGTTGGAACAAATTTTAAGGTATGCTTATGTTAGTCCGGAAAATTTTTTGAAGACCTCCCTTCGGGCCAACTATTTTGGGAAAAATTTTAGGGGACCTAATTTTGAAAGGGCCCTAAATATCGCTCGGCACAGCCCTTTGCCTCCCCATCCAATAGGGTTAAAAGAGATCTTGGTCAAAAGACAGTAAATCCCACGTAAAATCTAAAAGTGACAAAGTAGATATTTGGGAAATGTCAAAGTCTGAAAATTGTTTATATTACCTGAGACACTTATAGTTTCTCGCTGGCTGAAGTATGAAAGAAGCGAGAAACGGGTTCTCACACTGGGGGGCCCCGGGCGAGGTGCTATGCCCTTATATGGGCATGCGCCTCGAGATAGAGCATGTTTTGTCTTTTGCCGCAAGTGTGGTAGTTTGTGCCTTAAAACGCTCTTAAAAAAACCTGAAATATTTTATCGTGAAGATGTCCAAGACCCGTTCTTCTGCGCTCTGACGCTTGGAAAGCCACAATAAGAGTCCTCATGATGGGGATTGCGAAGGAGAACTTAATAACAGCAGACAAGAATCGCGGGAAAGCGAGAGATGTAAGGAACGATATCGTTCGCAAAGCCATTCTTCTCGTCGATGTCGTTCCCGCCAACGCTCGCGAAGCAACGATCGAGAGGAAACGATACCCGGTTGGGCCCAGCAGCTATTAAACGGACAGAGAGAGTCTGATCAGCGACTTAAGACGCTGGAAAAACAACTCAAAGATACGAACGCCAAGCAATCGTATGCACGCAAGTGGGAACACTCGCCCACACCAGAATTTAAATACAAGCGCAACAAAGTTCAGTACGAGCTGAATAAAAGCATTTTGGGCAAGATCGAAACAGCTTTAGACGCGTCTGACGACGAAGAACGTAGTGGAGCCCTTGACGAAGGTAGGGAAATGTTGATAGAACGAAATAAACATATTAAACTAGCCGAAAAATACGGATGGGAGGCTGTTGATTGTTATATCGATGAACCGTGAGCGAGCGACTCAGATGACGACAAAAAGATAAGGTGTGCGATTAAGGAGAGTAAAGTTCTAAAGAAGAAAAATATAAAGCTGCAAGAGCATCTAGATTGCCAGTCAACAGCTCCCAATCCAGAGTAGGCACTCAACCGCAGAGAATTCCCAACGAGAGCAATTTTCGCCAAGTCATCAAAAGATCCCCTGGCTCGCTGCCAGCTCAGGACACCATGTGTTTTCGTTGCGGACGAAAAGGCCATTATGACCGTTACTGCAGATCTCTTGTCGCCTTTAATGACTCCTCTCGCCTTACAAATAACTAGTAAAGATTGCGCCGAACAGACAGCGACCGAGTTCGAAACGGTTAATGATTTAGACTTAAATGTGAACATGCTATTAGACAATGTGCATGAAGCGCCTGACCAATGTGTCAAGGGACGTTTAAAAGAAAATGTTGAATTTTGGAAGCACATTGGCGCTTCACGTTGGGTTTTAACAGTTATTCGCGACGGATACGTGTTACCTTTTGTTGATCTACCTCAAAGACACATGTCCAAGAATCACATGTCGGCAATACGAAATGCTAAATTTGTTGATTCGGAAATTGAGAAATTATTAAGTTCAGGTTGTGTCAAGCAAGTGTCAAGTGACCAAGTGCATGTAATTTTGCCTCTCAGCGTGGCGTCAAATAATGGAAAAAAACAGACTTATTTTAGATTTACGTTATATCAACAGTTGTTTAAGAGTTTTAAAGTTTAAATACGAGGATCTGAGGACTTTCAAAGACATATTTCGACCCGGGAACTATATATTCAAGTTTGATTATAAGTCAGGGTATCACCATATTGACATTTTGCCGGAACATTCCAGATAAAAGTGTCTGGGAACCAACACAGTGTGGAGAAGTGCTGGGATTTATTGCTAACTTTGTGGATGGTTATTTTAGAGTGCCTGAGCAACGGATTGTTAAACTAAATAATCAGTTGCACACTATACAAGTCAATAACTATAAAACAACAGCTTATGGCATAGCCAAGCTCACTGGTACAATTATATCAATGGGTTTAGCACTAGGGCCCATAGCTCGGGTATGGACACGGGGGCTCTATCGTAACCTTACGCCCACAACATTGTGGGGGGAGATAGTGCACCTGAATGAGGATGCCATTAGAGAGATTAACTTTTGGGTAGACAGCTTTGCCGAATGCCATGGGCAAAAGATATGGTTGTCTAGTCCCCTCCCAGAGGTTATGACCTATTCAGATGCCAGTGACACAGGATGGGGTGGTTATTGCGTCCAGATTTCCGGACAGATTGCAAAAGGTTCATGGACGCCAGAGGAAGCCAAACAGAGCTCTACCTGGCGAGAACTCCGGGGAACTTATCTTGTACTGCTGTCGTATGCCAAACAGTTTCACGGGAAGTTTGTACGACACCGTACTGATAACAAGAACGTGGAACTAGTATTGCAGATCGGTAGCTCCTCAAAATTAATACATGACGAGGTAATCGCCATATACAAACTATGTCAGCAGCATGCTATTCGCTTATATCCAGAGTGGGTTCCTCGGAAGCAAAATAGTGAAGCCGATTATCTTTCCCGCCAGATCGATCCCGAAGATTATATGCTCAATCCATTACATTTTACCGCCCTCGACATGCTGTGGGGCCCTCATGCAGTTGATAGATTTGCATCATTTAATACTCGTCAAATCCCTAGATTCTGCAGCCGGTGGTTGAGTCCTTGCACAGAGGCGGTCGATGCCTTTACAGTAAACTGGAGTGGGGAGAATAACTGGATTTTTCCACCACCATACTTGATCCCAAAAGTAATTTCTCACATGTGTGCTAACAAAGAAGAGGGTACTTTGATAGTGCCTCTATGGTCTTCTGCATACTGGTGGCCCCTTCTTACTATAGACGGCAGGCGTCCTATGCCTTGGATTACCGAGTGGTTGGATATTCCACTGGCAGAAGACACCTTCATTCCAGCAGTTAGCCACACATGCCTCTTTGGGTCTGGCACCCCATCATATCGAGTTCTCGCACTTAAAGTTCGTTTTAATAATAATTTACAAAACATAGTGAAGCCATTTATCTAGATGGATTCTGGAAGAAGTAACAGCTTGTGGCTAAATTACATACTGTATGTGTGTAGATTATATATGTGCCTGTGAGAGGCGTTTAATTGTGAGAATAATTATTGGCAAACTGTATTTGCTTACCTAGGGTACTATGCTTGCGAGAAGCTCAACAGCCTGTGAGAGGCGCAACTGCCTGTTAGAGGCATGACTACCTGTGAGAGGAACAACAGCTTAGGCAATGCAGCACTGCCTGTGAGAGGCTTATAGTGTACCTACAGTACCTGTGAGAGGGCATACACATAGTAAACCTGGAATTGACTTGCATAACCATATTAATGATATTGTGTCTTGATTCATAGAGGTTATAACAAGAACGGCACCTGCCAGAGGTTTCCACCATGACCCTGAATAGAATGCACTTGCTAGAGATATACCGAAGATCATAATGCAAGATCGGGCACTGCAGACAGTCAAGAAATACTTAAATACTTTCCAGCAGTGGAAGAAGTGGGCAAAGAGAAAAAGTCTCCATGCCCTCCCTGCATCAGGGTATGAATTTGCTTTGTATATTGCTTACCTGCTCAGAAAGGCCAAGTCAGTGTCAACAATTCATGCAGCAGTTTACGAGGTAGCATGGGCACATAAGAAAGTAGCTGCAGTATCACCGACAGAGCACCCTTTAGTTAAACAAATGGTTGAGGCAGCAAAAAGAATACTCTGTATTGCCCCAAAAAACAGAAAGCAACCACTAGGCATAGATCATATAAAGAAACTTGTTCGTAAATTTGGTGGTGGTGGAGACCTGAGTAAGCTGCAGATTACATGTTTAATAACATTGGGTTATAGTGTTTTTTTGCTGCGATGCGATGATTTGGCAAAGCTCAAAAAACAGGATGTGTTATTTTACAAAGATCATATGTGGATTTTCTTCAAAAGAGAAAAATTGATCAATATCGTGAGGGTTCATGGATTTTTATAGCCAGCACAGGCAATTGCACATGTCCAGTAAAGTTGATGAAAGAGTTTTTTCGACAGGGCAAGCATAAGCCGAGTGATTTTGTGTTCAGGATGGTGTCACATACAGTTAACAGTATGTCACTTAGATCCCAAGCAATGACGTATTCGCGGGCAAAGGAATTGTTCTTGAAGCAACTAAAGGGGCTCAGGTTGGATCCATCTAAATATGGTTTACATAGTTTCTCGTTTTATTATAGTTTCTCGCTGGCTGAAGTATGAAATAAGCGAGAAACTGGTTCTCACACTGGGGGGCCCCGGGTGAGGTGCTATGCCCTTATATGGGCATGTGCCTCGAGATAGAGCATGTTTTGTCTTTTGCTGCAAGTGTGGTAGTTCCCACCCGCCCACCCTTGTGGTTCGAGACATTATTTAGGGGACCCAGTGTGAGAATAAACTTTTCCTCAAAAAATGTTGGTGGCGGCACTGACTGACTGATCTGCACTGACCATATTATACAGTCTGGGCGACAGGACGCGTCTTTCAGTATTTAAAAATTAATAAAACCGTGTATGCATGAATGGAAATATTAGAATACATATATAGACCAAATAACTCAAAATGCTATTGCAATTCTAGAACAACGGCTTGACAACAACTTTGTTACAATTTAATTGTTTGCAAATCTGTAACAGGTTTTTACGTGTGTGGGTTGAAGAAACAGTATAAAATGAAAAGTGGAGGAAAGAAGCGCCAACATGAGATAGATGTGGTTAGTGAAATTCGCGAAAGAAGTTATCACCTCTTTAGCTGCTGAAGACAGTATCAGAGAAACGTTTCAGAAAATGAATTCCACCAAGTTCACTCCAGATATGCTCAGAAATCTTCTGCTGAAAATGACAGCAACGTATCTTTTTGCAAATTACGAAGCTCATGTTAGATCATACGTCACATCATTCTTGCCCGAGCTTCGTGTACTGCCTGTGTCAGTTTGATTGGAGACGATTTGCAGCGTGATAGGGTGTTCTCCTGATGATGCATCTTTCATTTCCGATGCTTGTTTAATATCGTATGATGTCCTCTTGAAGGTAGATCATGGAGATCTTTGCAGTTGTGGCTACCCTATTTTGCTGACTCCACCGACTAAAACATGTTTGCTGTGCAATTTATATACTAAAACTGTCTGTACTAGTGTAGGTAGTACCAATGTGAAAATTCTGTGGTGAGTGGTCAGTCAATGTATCAATCAATGTATCAATCAATGTATCAATCAATGGTAACAAATTATCTACTTCTGTGTTCTACAAGCCCACTGACTCCCATAGCTATCTTCTATTTTCCTCTTCCCACCCCAACCACACCAAAAGGTCGATTCCCTTTTCTCAGTTCCTTCGTCTTCGCCGCATATGCAGTGAAGACGAAGATTTTCAGGCTAAAAGTCTGGAGATGAGACACTTTTTTGTCCAGCGTGGTTATCCTACCTCTCTATTAGACACTGCCTTTTCGAAGGCCTCCCAAATTCCCCGTTCTGACACCCTCACAGACCCTGTGTCTAATGTCACAGGCAACAACAAAATCCCCCTAGTATTAAACCTCCCTATTAGTATCTTCCTTTCAATTTCAAAGGTAGAGATGTCATCAACAAGAATTTCCATATTTTGAAAAACGACCCTGAAACATCTTCCATTTTCTCCGATAACCCCTTAGTCTCTTTTCGACACAGCAAAAATATCTGTGAAACCCTTGTCCATAGTTCCCTAACACAGGCTTCGACGTCACAGAAAGGCACTTTTCCTTGCCTGTCGTGGAAATGTAAAACCTGTGATTTTATAGATTCCACCACTATTGTTTCGGCACCTAAATCTGAATTTCACATCAAGCACCATTTCATGTGCGCCTCCTCCCATCTCATCTACTGCATCTCTTGCAGCAGATGTGGCATGCTTTACATTGGGGAAACTGGAAGATGTTTAAGGACAAGGTTTGGTGAGCATTGGCATGCAGTTATTGGCAATGATGCTAACCAGACATTTTAATGATGGCAATCACAGTGTTTCAGATATGTTAATTCAAGCCCTCTGTCCCATTTCTGGAAGCAACGATAGCCGCAAATGACATGAAATGCGCCTCATATCCAAATTTGGCACTGTTCACCCTTCTGGCATTAATGAACGCTTTTCTTATGTTTAATGCCATCATAGACAATCCAGAAGACATGTCTTCTGTTTTGTCTATGATGTCATCTGTCTTTGCCTGTCTATAGCAGACATTGACAACTTCCATTTATTACTTTTACCTTATTCGCACTTGTGTTTTGTTTTGATTATTTTTTGTAGTAATTGTCTTAACTTCCTGTTTATTTTATATTTTTAATTATATTCTGTAATGTGATTTACATATTTTGTTTACACTTTGTTATTTTTAAATCCATCTAATTGGTTTATTTTTTTGTCACGTGATGCTTTCATACTCTTAGTATTAAAGCCCGTGCATTTTCCCTGATCCCTGCTACTAACTCTTGACAAAGGGCCTTTGCTCGAAACGTTGAGTTTCTGCTTATTTTTTAAGGTAGTAATATAACCACTCAGCACAGAATTTTGCTGTGCAATTGTTTGTTAAGCCAACACAACAAGCCTTGTGATGTAACGATACATAGTGTTCGTGGTAAGACAGCTGGTCTAAAGTTTTCCTTGTGATGCACACAGTGTGATGTAAATTACAATTATGATCAATATGGCAATACGACAAAGGGTTGGAGCCTATATGAAGAACGTAGGCCCTTAGGTTCGGTAATATATCGAACAAGTCAGCTACCATATCTAAATCCCTCATCCAAATGCCGTTTAAGGAATTAAATTCACTATTACTAAGTTCATAGAACAGTAGATGTTGCATCAAGTTGTGGGACAGCTTATTATGTCTCTTGTCTGCCATAATTATTATTAGTTCATAAGGTATTAATTAAAGTAAGCTACTGTTGTTGTTGTATAACTAACTACCTTGCAGAAACTCTTCAAATTCCTCTTCTGTTGTAAACCCAAAGACTTGCGAATGTTCAGATTGACGCAGTAATATTTTCCCATTGACTGTCCAGAGATATTTCCATTGGTTATTCTTTTTTAACTCGTTTGTGCGGCCAAATAGTTTTTTTCTAGAAGGAGTAAGAGACTCGCTTATGAATATATTTTCCGCTCTGTGAATGCTCTTGCCAAACTCATTAGCGACGGATGGTAGGTCCTTCGATTTCTTTCCAGCAAGCTTCCTTCTTTTCTTATAGAACTCGTCTTTCGTGTTGCGATGCACAAATTTGACAATGAATCTCTCCTTTACTTTTCTTGTTGAGGGTAGACGATGGGCTGTTGAAATATGTTCTTGAGTAATTTCAACACCAATTAAATATCCAAGTTCAACCGTTAATTGCTTTGGATTATCGATAGGTAGTGTCAGAATTCCAGATATTTCAATGCACGCTCGGCGACCATATTGTTCTAGATTGTCAAGTGCAACGTTAATTGCATAGTTAGATTCTTCTGCTTTCTCTGTTCGAGAGAACTGCAGTTTGCTTCTTGTTATCATGCATTATTTTTTAAAATTATCGAATTCATTGGACTAGACCTGCTGCGAGGTTTCAATGTCCTTACACTTGGCAGTTAAAACGTTTACTTCAGATCTTAATTCAGATAATTCCACTTTAATCTCATTCCTTATACTTGGCAGGAATCGATTCTCCCATAGTTCTATAATTGCTTCTCCCATAGTTCTATAATTGCTTCTATAGTTAGACTTTTTTCGGTAGACATAGCGGAGCCTGTTCGAACACGTCTGCTCTCTTCGAAACACCAATGTTTCATCAAACGGTATACAGTAATTAACAAACGATCTTGCATGTATTAGGGTGATCATTAATGAACTAGCTAAATTTTGAATGTGTATTTTGGCATTTTAGGTCTGAAGGTCCGGCTCAAGTGTTTGTCATAATACTGTCATGGCTTTTTGTCATTTTAAAGTACATCAATCCTATGAACTGGTCAAAAATATTCATATCCTACTACAACATGTGCCATTTGGATGGCATTAAAACAGCACAGAACCATCTACCTCTGCCCTCTCCTTGGGATAAAGCATGGACATCAGTGACAAAGATAATTGACAGCCTGCATATAAAGAACCATAAAGACATATCCTGCAAAAAGAAATATGATCCTGCATTTCTGAAAAATGAACTTCCAGAAGGCAATACAATGGCAGCTGAACAGACATTTGTGTGGCTGTCCAGGTTTAAGAAGATTTTATGTGCAATGCCGAAAGTGCACCACCTGGTTCTATCTTCATTGCATGGTAAAACACAGAAAAAATCCGAACGAACTAAACATCCACTGGCCTTCGCTAGTTTCTCGCAGGAAAATGCATACTGCCATTTTAGTTTTTAAATGTTTAAGCAATAGAGTTCCATCTTTCTTACAAAACTATATTGACTTATCTAATCCTGGCAGATTAACGAGAAACTGCACGCATAAATGTGATATACCTAAAGTTAAACTGGTATTTGGCAGTAAGGGCTTTTATGTTAGAGGCCCACAAGTTTTTAACAGTTTGCCTTTGCGTATTGGGGAAGAAAACGTTTTCACAAACTTTAGGAAGAGAGCCATAAACCACTTTAGTAATCCATAGATGATCTTCCTAGCATATATTATAGTAAACTGTACGATCATTAATTTATTATATTCTGTAAAATCTTCATATAATCTCTTAAAAACAAATTTGTAACTAGTTAGCATTAATTTATTATATTCTGTAAAATCTTCATATAATCTCTTAAAAACAAATTTGTAACTAGTTAGTATTCAGGGCTCACATTGATACCAGTTCTTCTGAACTGACGTGACTACCATGATGAAATAAAGTTGATTTGATTTGATTTACCGAAGGCCCGAAACAAATGATAGGTAAAGAGAACTGGTGGAAGTTACAAATATGAATTAAACAAAAAGATATTACCCTACCAAAAATCGTATTTGGAAATAC